AAATTGGATTTTTTTTTTTACATGCTTACCTGTAAAATTCATTTCTTGGAGTACATCACAGGACACAGATGTCCCACCCCTCTTTTGGGAATGTCATTGCTTGCTACAAATACAGATACTTCCTGTATAGGTGGGGTTTTATAGGGAAAGGCCTCCTCTCTGATTGGTCGCCCTGTGTCCATTCACCAATAGGTGGCCTATAACCCACATAGTCATGAATAGCCCACTCTGTGTCCTGTGATGTACTACAAGAAATAGATTTTACATGTAAGTATGTAGAAAAATCCAATTTTCAATGGGCTTGCTAGATTAGCCCCCTAAAATGTGCTTTGCCCAGTGATCTTTGATTTCTTCCATGTTCGGGTAGATCTCCACCACTCTAAGGTTGCATACCCCTGGACTAAAAAATAGGCAACCAACACAATCTTGTGTTCCAATGAGTTACAAAATATCCTCCTTCAGGGATTTCTACCTTCTCAAAGCTCAGAACAGCTCCAAGCTCTACCCAGGCTTCAATTTCTAAGCCAAAATTCAGCGCTTCCTTTCGACACAAGCCTTGGAACTCAAAATCCACTAAGTCTTTCCACAAGCCACCTTCACAAGGAAGGGGTGCCTTCTCTCCAACTAGGGGGTCACCTGTTGCATTTTGCCAATCTCTGGGTCAGACATCAAAAACCTCTTGGCTCAGCCAGGGGTTTCAAAGGGGTGCAAAATAAGGTTCAAAATGCTACCCTTTTTTCAATCCAAATAAAATCTGCTCAAGGACAGTCAGATGTGCTGAACAACCTGAAAAGTCTTTTATACCAGAGAGTAGTTGTTCCTGTTCCCCCTACTGGACAGGCTCAAATGATTATATTGAAACCTCTTCATGGTACCAAAACCCAAAGGGTGTATTCATCCTACCCTGGACTCAAAATCCCAAAGCAAATAACTGCAAATCCTCAAATTTTGCATGGAATCTGTAGTTCAAGTATTGCCTCTCTGAGACCAGGAGAATACTTGGCATTCATAGACATCCAAGATGCCTATCTGCATATTACCATTTATCCACCTCATGAGCTCTTTTTGGCCTATCCCCTGCAGAGTATCACAAGTGTTTGTACCTCTTCTTGTCCCGCTTAATGTCCTCATGTAGCTAAAAATCAGTACAAGAGACATAACTTACCATCAGTACAATGTATCACTTGTGCGGATTCCTCTTCTGTTAGTAGAAGTCCTTCTCAGTCCAAGCTCCTTCGTTGTATTAACCCCTACCCCCCTAGAAAATTACAACAACGGGTTAATACAACCAAAGGGCTGTCACAGGCTCTCGAAAAGAGAGCCAACTTTGACCGCTATTTCCACCCAGGTACTACAGCTATTATGAATGGAAGGGGCAGACCTTTCCATCATCCACCCATACTCCATTCTTGGATCTTGTTTCATTTATAGAATCTGAAGTATTACTTCTGTGAATGGAGCAGCTGGGTGGAAAGGGTGGGCATAGTCTTGCTCTCTTGGTACAGCCTGTTAGTTTTATTAACTGCATCTGAAGATTATGATGGCGAGGGTGGGGCGTAAAAACGAAGGAGGATTTCCACTAACAGAAGAGGAATCAGCAAAAGGGACAAATCCTACTGACTGTCCCTTGTACTGGTTTCTGTTTTTTACTTTAGCTATGTTTAGAATTTAAGGACTCGGTATCCAGGTCACAAATTAACCAGACGACCCTTTCCTGAAGGATTCCTCTTTCTTCCAGTGATCTACAAACATCCACAGGACCGTTCAGATGCTTCAGACTTTCAGTTGGGTGATCAATTTTCAAATTTCTGGTCTTCAACCTTCTATTTGTCTGGAATACTTGAGCCTAATTCTAGACACTGCCCAAGGAAAAGTCTTTCTTCCAGGAAACCAGGTTGGTCTCAGAACTCGTATTCGGATCATAAGATCAAAGACACTCCTTTGAGACTTTCTGTGAGAGTTTTGAGCCTCATGGCAACCTCCTTTTTGAGGCTGTTTTATTAATCAATTTTATTCAAGACAACATTTTTTTTGTATGGAAGAAGCATGCTCTTTGTTCCTATCCAGCCAAGCAAGGAAATCCCTTGTCTAGTGGAATTCCTGCACAGCCTTATAATCGGGTTGTGTTCTGTCATATTACTGGATGGTGATAACTGATGCCAGTCTCTTCAGCTGGGGTGCAGTGTTCCAGTCCCTCATAGTTCAAGGAACATGGTCACCAGAAGGAGCCAAGCTCCCCATCTACCCTTGGAGTTCTAAGTGCTCAAAATGGCTGCACCACTAAAGTCCCATTCTTCAGAGACACCCAGTCAAGGTTCAGTCGTACAACACCACACCCGTGGCCTACATCAGTCACCAAGGGGGTACAGAGAATCGTACAGCCTTGAAGGAAGCAAGCCAGGTCCTCTCACAGATGGAGAAACATTTCGAGATCTCTGCTGTCCACATCCCAGAGATGTCCTAGGAGATGTGACCCCTGGCCTGTTCCAAACAGGCCAGACCTGCTCTCACAGGGCCCACTGTTCGATCCTGCGTCTCTGACTCTGCCATTCCTACCGCACTTAGAGCAAGAAAAGCTACTTTCAGAAAGATCAATTATACCTGGAGTTCCTTTTCTGCCTGGGTGGACACAGGCACTTCAGTCCCAGATGTTAATCTGTGCCCAGCATTCTGACATTCCTACAATTAGGACTTGACTGAAACTTGGTCTTACGTGAACTGAAAGGACAGGTTGTGCCTTGTCCATTCTTTTCAAAAAACCTCTGGCTTCACTCTCCCTTGTAAAAAACTTTTCTTCAAGGTTCATCTTACAAAAAGCCCCTGTTGCAGCACCAATTGCTTCATTAGTATCTCAACGTGATTCTCTTTTGCCCCTGCATAAACCATCCTTTGAGGTTTTTCCTGGCTCAGGCCTCACTTACACTGCCCTGTGCTTCCCTGAGACATTAATCTGTTTTTCTCTGCCCTGCAGAAACCACTTTTTGAACCCATCAGGAAAACCCCCTTGGATGACCTATCCTGCAACATAGCCTTCTTGATTGCTGTCCTGTCCATCAGTCCATCCATGTGTCTCTGAGCTGACGACTCTTCTTTTAAAGTGCCATTCTTTATGCTTCACAAGGACAAGGTAGTTTTGTGCCCATGCCTTCCTTTTTTCATTGAGGTGGTATCAATCTTTCACATCAATGAAGACCTAGCCCATCCCTTTTTGTGCCCTACTCCATAGTACCCAAAGGAACTGCACAAACTGAACTGCATGGGATGTGATGAGTCATTAGAGTCTACCTCAAAGCTTCATTCAGGAGGACAGATTCTATATTTGTCCTTCCCGATGGACTTTTCAAGGGACATCCTGCTTCAAAGTCCACTAAATGGATAAGGCAACTCATCCCAAGAGTTACTCTAAAAGACACTATTGCATGCTCATTTCACCAGATCAGTGGGAGTTTCTTGGTCATTCCAACATCAAGCTGTATATAGCTGCCACCTGGTTATCTGTTTATACTTTAAGTTCTACCAGGTGTATGTCCAATCATCTGCAGATACAGATTTCAGCCACAAGGGTCTTGCAGCAGCACTATGAATTTGGGCCTGATTGACCCTTGTTCTTGTTGGGCCTGTTGGCACAGTTCTGTTTACGTTGGGGACATCCCATGTCTATGAATACTTGGTCTGTGTCCTGCACAATACGATTATGATAAGACTAATTTTGACTTGCCTGTAAATTCTCTCTCTTAGAGTACAGTACAGGACACAGACCACTCTCTTCTAGTCTTGGGTCACTGTATTGCTTGCTACAAAACTGAGCACTCACGCAATGAGGTTGAGTTGTAGGGGAACTCCAGGAGGCATGTCCTTCAAGGCTTTGCCAGTATCCGAGGTCTGTGAATGTTGATATGGACTTTACAGGAAAGTTAAAATTACATATGTGTGTAAGCATTCTAGGCAGCTTACCTTCTTTAACCACTTGCCCTCCAGAGGATTTACCCCCTTCCTGACCAGACCAGACCATTTTTTTTTTTTTGCGATACAGTGCTGCGTTACTTTAACTGACAATTGCGCGGTCATGCAATGTCTTTCATAAATTAAATAGATGTAATTTTTTTTTCCCACAAATATAGCTTTCTTTCCGTGGCATTTGATCACCTCTGCGTTTTTTTATTTTTTGCACTATAAACAAAATAAGACAGACAATTTTAAAAAAAAAAAAAAAACTATTTTTGATGTTCTGCTATAAAACATATTCAATAAAAAAAATTAAAAATTAATTAATTTTTTCATTAATTTAGGCCTAAATGTATTCTGCTACATGTCTTTGCTATAAAAAAAAAAAATCCTAGTACGTGTAAATTAATTGGTTTACGGGTTTTAAAGGTTTTTAAGTTGTAGCGTCTACAAATGGCAGTATATATACTGAAATTTTATTTTTTTTTTCATGCTAGTAATGGCAGCGGGACTGCGGCGGGCATTTTGTCACTGGGTGGCAACTGACTAACTGCCATTGACATCCCCAGTGACACAAATACAGTGATCAGTGCTAATAGAAATCACCAATACTGTACTAATGACACTGGGCAGGAAGGGGTTAACATCTGATGCGATCAAAGGGTTAACTGTGTGTGTTTTACTGGGGAGACATGCTGTTTTGTGTCTGTGCAGAGAGATACAAAACAGCATGTCCATGCTGACAGGAGAGAGACCTGTGTTTACACACAGGTCTCTCCCGTCACCTTTACCCGATGATTGCCTAGTGCCGGCCGGGACCTGGTGATTGACATCCCTAGCCGCCAATAGCTGTGCGGGTAGAGAGGCTAGCGTTTCCACTACCCAGAAATACAAATCACGTATATATGCGTGATTTTGCGCAGCCCTGCCACCCTGTATCAGTACTTGTGCTATAGAGTGGTGGGAAAGTGGTTAAAGTATAGATACTTTTTCCATTAACATGGAATATGAAACAAGTGAATAATAACACTGAAACTAATTTTTATTTAATGCAGGTATTGAAGCGTCAAGGCTATGATGCTGCATGTGATATCTGGAGCTTGGGTGTTCTCCTCTACACTATGCTAACTGGGTGAGTTTATGTAAATGATGAACCCATTTTTCCAACCTAGAACTCCGAATGTCTTTTTTTCAGTATTTGAGGTTTTTTCCTTTTTATAAATTGTGTCAATATATTTTATAGTGTTTTACAGAGAACATGGCCATGCACATCAGCCCCATCTCCAACAGAGCTTACAGTGTTAAGTCCCTAACACAGTCATGCAGCCTTGTGTAAACCATTTTTGTGTAAAACCCATGCAAAATTGACATACCAGAAAGTGCTAATCACTGAGCTACTGTGACACACGTCATCACCACACTTAAGGTGGAACTTTAGTCAGAAAATTAAGTCATGCTAGATCACGTCAAGCTGGCCCCTTTTGTGGGTAAAACATGTAACACATTAAAAATAAGTGCCTATACTATTTAAAATTCAGTAAAGCACTGTCTCACCCTGCTCTGCACATGCTCAGTTGCTCTATATTTTTAGGCACCGCTGAATATGTAGAGGCTAATCTGCTGACATCCTTAAGAGGAATTAAACCCTCCTAGCCTTTTCAGTCAAGGAAGCTGCTTTTGTTTGGTCTGCAACTGCCATGTGATCAGTTATGAGACCAGCCATTTGATGGTTTGATAGTTTGGTTGAGGACACAAACAAATGTTAGCAATCCCAGCATTCCTGGAAGGTACCATTTTAAAACTGTTAAATCGATGGGTTTAGCTTCTCTTTATGATTAACTGTTTTCAAGGGCTCTGGGCTTCACAAAATTGTAGCCTTCAGCAAGAAGAAACAGGAATAATGCTGAAAGCAATTTACAAGGCACACTAATTTTGGTAGCAGATGTGGAGTGTATGTTCCTTGCTAAAGAACATAATTTTTTATCAAGTTTCTATGGGTAAAGTTCCCCTTTTAAGTTGTCAGCCCTTAAGATGGTCCTATATGCTTCATTAGACACCATTCACACAGGCATACTGATCCGTACACCCACGCTTAGGGACATCTTCAGCCACATAGGATGCACTGGTGTTCCATGCAGTCTGTTTAGTGGATGGATGTGCTCCATGGATGTGCTTGGAAAGTCATGCAGATCCATGCAGCTGCCCACATGTTATTGATTTGAAAAGGCTGCCTGCATGTGGCTGCATGAAATACCTGTGCATCCCATGCGCATAAAAACTGGTAGGATACAGTCACTGGCCAATAATTTTCCATCCAGCTCAGTAAATGTTTAAGACAACATTTGTCAAGCCATGGAGGGCACCCCAAGAACCACCCAGCTCAGGGAAATTTTAAATATGGCCAGGATTAGTATAGTAGTAGATATAATTCATTAAAAGCATACCTAAAATATTCATTCACATCAAAAACCTGAAACTTCAGACACCTGACCTGTATGGAAAAGCCCTGCACATGGCCAGTTGCTAGAAGTGCTGGCACTATAAGCTATCACTCCATACATTTCCACTATAATCCATGACTCTGGTGTTTCATGACTCTTCCTACTTTATCAAGAAGTGTTTTAAATCTTAGGTGATAATCAGTGCTTGCATTGCTCCCTAGGGTAAAACATATCCTGCTTGTTTCCCAAATGGACACTGGAAAAGTTCTGTGGTCATCCAGCTCTTTACCATATCCATTCATATTATGTTGATGAATATTGTTTTCTGTTTCAGATATACACCTTTTGCAAATGGGCCAGATGATACTCCCGAAGAAATACTGGCACGGATAGGCAGTGGAAAGTTTTCTCTAAGTGGCGGTTACTGGAATTCAGTCTCCGATATTGCCAAGGTCTGTACTTCTCTTTCTTCAATATATTCCACAGTTTCTCTAAATGTATCTTCTAGTCCTACCTGTTTGTCATTAATAGTAAACTAGCACCTGGTAAATTAAAACCCATTCAATCAGGCACTGTCCCCCTTCGGCTTTTTTTCCATTTCTGGCATGTATCGATGTAACAAACCACTTTGTTTGACATGGCCATTTGTCCAACATGCCAAAAAGATTTCAGTATCAAAGGTAAAACCATCCAAGATTTTGGAATTTCATACATGCTCTTCCGAATTTGTGGTGTACTGTTTGGCATGTCCCTATGGTTCATACTATGTAGGGAGAACCATCCATACTCTACGCAAACGTTTTGGGGAGCATCGCTGCCTCATAGAAGACGGCATCGATATACATAGCATTCCTAGACATTTCCTAGAACGACATGGAAAATCCAATAAAGGTTTAAAAGTTTGGGCCACTGATCTCCCGAGAGCTGAAAGATACAAGCGCCTATGTCGCAGGGAGACCTATTGGCTTCATGTACTGGATGTACTATCTCCCGGAGGTTTGAATGAGGACTTGACGATCCATACCATTTTGTAGAATTATCACAGTCCATTAGCTCCATATCTCCTCATCATATTCACATATCCCTCTTATGGGGGGGCTGATAGGTTTGTCTTTTTCTCTTTGTTCTACCATACATCCTATATCACACCATGTATATATATATTCTTATCAGTTCATTCATCACCACCATCCCATTTGCAGATACATCAGTTCATCCATCTCCCCTTGCCTCCCCCCCTTTATTATATATATGTGTATGTGTGTGTATATATATATATATATATATATATATATATATACCGTATTTTCCGGTGTATAAGACGACTTTTTACCCCTTGAAAATCTCAAAAGTCGGGGATCGTCTTATACGCCGGTAACAGCATGCTGACACTTTTTAGGGGGGCGGCACGGTGCCGCCGCCCCCCCCCCTTCCAACAGAATGGACACTAAGTACAGGGGTGGGCAGGGGCTGCTGTCTCTTACCTGGCTCCGGTCCCACGACGATCCGGTCCAGGAAGCGCGGCTGCTCCTTCCTTCCGTTCGTCCACTGGATGTTCGCGCGGGCTGCTCGGCTCCGCCTCCTCACCAGTGATTGGCCGCCAGAACTGTAGCTCAGGAAAGGCACACAGGCGGCCAATCACCGGCGAGGAGGCGGAGCTGAGCGGCCCCGTGAAAATCGAATGGAGATGCAGGTAAGTGTGCCGTGCTTAAGTGCTGCTGCAACCACATACAGTTGTGACCAAAATTATTCAACCCCCAATGCTGTAAAGGGGGTTTAGGGACTATAGTGTACATTTGGAATTGTATTCAGAATCAAATCCTACAAGGACGTTGTAACTACCCAAATGCAACTAAAATGACATCAATTGTTTATGTAATACAGTAGTAAATGGTTCTTATGTGGTTTCTTCATTGCCACAATTATTCAACCCCTTAAAGACTACCACTCTGAAGAACAGAGGTTCATACAGGTGCTTTCCATCAGGTATTGAAAACACCTGTGGATGTCACCGAGCAGCAATCAAGCATAATAAGCACCAATTAGGCAGCTTTAAAATGACTGTGATACTCAGCTCCTTCTAGACATTTACTGGTGTGGTTACAAACATGGTGAAGGCAAGAGAATGGTCCAGGAAGACAAGAGAAGAGGTGATTTCTCTTCACAGGAAGGGCAATGGCTATAAGAAGATTGCAAAGATGTTAAACATACCAAGAGACACCTTAGGAAGCATCATTCGCAAATTCAAGGCAAAGGGCACTGTTGAAACGCTACCTGGTCGTGGCAGAAAGAAGATGCTGACTTCGACTGCTGTGCGCTACCTGAAGCGTAGAGTGGAGAGAAGTCCCCGTGTGACTGCTGAGGAACTGAGAAAAGATTTGTCAGATGTGGGTACAGAAGTTTCAGCCCAGACAATAAGACGCACACTGCGTAATGAAGGCCTCCGTGCCAGAACTCCCAGGCGTACCCCCTTGCTGTCTCCAAAGAATAAGAAGAGTCGACTGCAGTATGCCAAAAGCCATGTGGACAAACCACAAAAGTTGTGGGATAGTGTTCTGTGGACTGATGAAACAAAATTAGAACTGTTTGGGCCCATGGATCAACGCTATGTTTGGAGGAGGAAGAACAAGGCCTATGATGAAAAGAACACCTTGCCTACTGTGAAGCATGGTGGAGGGTCAATCATGCTTTGGGGCTGTTTTGCTTCTGCAGGTACAGGGAAGCTTCAGCGTGTGCAAGGTACCATGAATTCTCTTCAGTACCAGGAGATATTGGATGGAAACGTGATGCAGTCCGTCACACACCTGAGGCTTGGGAGACGTTGGACCTTTCAACAGGACAATGATCCCAAGCATACCTCCAAGTCCACTAGAGCATGGTTGCAGAGGAAAGGCTGGAACATTTTGGAGTGGCCATCGCAGTCACCAGACTTAAATCCGATTGAGAACCTCTGGTGGGACTTAAAGAAAGCAGTTGCAGTGCGCAAGCCTAAGAATGTGACTGAACTGGAGGCCTTTGCCCATGAAGAATGGGCGAAGATACCCGTAGATCGCTGCAAGACACTTGTGTCAAGCTATGCTTCACGTTTAAAAGCTGTTATAACTGTAAAAGGATGCTGTACTAAGTACTAAGATTGAATGTCACTTGGGGGTTGAATAAAACTGATAATGCTGTGAGCACAGAAAAGACATTTGTGGTTATTTCATTATAACTGTTATGTTATATTTGTCTGACCTACAAGTGCCTCTTTAATGTAAATGTAAGCAAGATGACTGAATGATCAAAAGCAATGTCAAACTGGCCAAAACACTCAATTTCAGTGGGGGTTGAATAATTTTGGTCACAACTGTATGCTGGCTGCAGCAGCACCGTACTGGAACAGGGTCAGCAAGTGTCAGTGGGAGGAATAGTGCCCCATCGTTGGTGTCACTGATACCAATGATGGGGCATTATTCCTCCCACTGACACCGACGATGGAGCACTTTTCCTCCCCCCCCACTGACACCAAAGATGGGGCACTATTCCCCCCCCCCCCACTGACACCCCAACGATTGGGCACTATTCCTCCCCCCCCACTGACACCAACGATGGGGCACTATTCCTCCCCCCCCCCCCCCACTGACACCAACGTGGGCACTATTCCTCCCCCCCCCCCCACTGACACCAACGATGGGGCACTATTCCACCCCCCACTGACACCAATGATGGGGCACTATTCCACCCCCCCCACTGACACCAATGATGGGGCACTATTCCACCCCCCCCACTGACACCAATGATGGGATACTATTCCTCCCACTGACACCAAAGATGGGACACTATTCCTCCCACTGACACCAAAGATGGGGACACTATTCCTGCCACTGATACTAATGATGGGGTGCTATTCCTCCCACTGACACCAATGATGGGGCACTATTCCTGCCACTGATACTAATGATGGGGCACTATTCCTGCCACTGATACACAATGATGATGGGGCACTATTCCTCCCACTGACACCAATGATGGGGCACTATTCCTGCCACTGATACTAATGATGGGGCACTATTCCTGCCACTGATACCAATGATTGGGCACTATTCCTGCCACTGATACCAATGAGGGGGCACTATTCCTCCCACTAATACCAATGATGGGGCACTATTCCTCCCACTAATACCAATGATGGGACACTATTCCTCCCACTGACACCAATGATGGGGCACGATTCTTCCCACTGGTGTGCACTGGAAGAGGGGTAGTCTTATACGCCGGAACACTACATTTTAAACAGGAAAAGTAGGGGGTCGTCTTATACGCCGGAAAATACGGTGTATGTGTATATATATATATATATATATATATATATATATATATATATATATATAATATATGCTTGTCTTTATATGATCATTTTTAGCACACCATAGCTTACTTTGGTAGTGCATGGATTAATTGTATTTCTCCACTTAACTGTTTACCATGTTTTATACATTGTATGTGTACCTCCATCATTTATCCACTTACGTCGTTGTATGTGCTTCTCATATATTTTATAACTAATTTTTTCATTTTACTGCATTAGGGTTGCTTAGCGTTATATGGGGCGTTCTGTCACTGTGGAGCGGCATCCCGCTTGCTGACTCAACCTCAAACTGTGCATCTCTGACTAAAATTGAATAATGCCCATGCTATAGGTGTAGGCCATTTACATACCCCTGAAACCAGACTGGAATACTCCCAAAATGTTGCGTGAGGCCTTGTCGTTACTGCTTACTTCTACCAGTGTTGTGGGGGTTTTTTTTTACCAATCACATGTACAATAGTAAACAGTGGCTGTGATCCATAAAGCCATTGAGAAATACTGTGATTGGTCATAGTGATCACATGGTACCAGGACCAACCAATCACAGCGTGGGGGTTGTGGTTTTTTTTTTTACATACTGTCAACAGAGCAGGTGCAGTGTCACTATGGTACGATGTACATTGGCTGGCTGCTTTGATATTATATCAGTGCCGCCAGTCATTATCTCGGATAACCACCACAGCAGCACAGTGTCACCAGACCAGTGCTGCCAGTCAGTGTCCCCAATCACCGCCACACCAGTCATATTGTCCCTGATCACCGCCCACACCAGTCATATTGTCCCTGATCACTGCCACACCAGTCATATTGTCCACGGTCACTGCCACACAGTCATATTGTCCCCGATCACTGCCACACCAGTCATATTGTCCCCATTTCTGTCACACAGTCATATTGTCCCCATTTCTGCCACACACCCAGTTAGTATCCCTGATCACCTCCACAAGCCAGTCATCAGACCAGTGCAGCCAGTAACAATGTTCCTGATCACCTCCACACCAATGCAGTGTTGCCTTTGCATGCCGCCTGTACTGATCCTGGCCTGTTTGACTATGTGTTTGCCTGTTGCCTGTACCGGTCATTGGCCTGTTTGATGACCATGTCTCTGCCTGCAATCTGAACTGACCCATCTGCATATCCGACTGACTATGCTCCTGCGAGACACCAGTCCTAGCCACACTTTAAGGACAACATGACTTCCTGGAACCACAGGAACTCTTGTGTGCTTCCCTTTTCCAGTCTTCTCTACTATCTGGCTGGTGAATTTGGCATTCCTGGGGGCAGCCATGTACCACAAGGCTAGGCTTGCTTGGCTTGTAGGAATGTGGCCTGCTATAGGTTACAGTACGCTAAGTTATGTTCCCTGACCACTCATATAAAGGTGACCATTACAGTACATTGGTTTTGAAACCGTGTTTGGTATATAATCAGTCCAAAAAGTGAAAGTCTCACACGTGTTATCATGTAGTTCTAAGTACGCCAATGCTGTGTGTGAGGAATAATAGACAACTTTGTGTAAAAAAAAAAAAAAATAATTTTCATTTTCTTTCTGCATTTTCAGAAATCTTGTGGCAATATAATGAAGTCTTCAAAAGACTCACCATGCCTTTTAAAAAATACCTTGGTTGTTTGGTTTCCAAAATGTGGTCATTTTGTTTGTGTTTCCATTGTCCTGGTGCTCCAGGGCCTCCAAAGATGTGATAGGTAGTTAGGTAATTAGGGCAATTTATGCCCCTAGAAAACCTGAAGGTGTTTGGATTTTGGCCCCTGGGCCCCTCTATGTGGCTAAGCTGTAAAAAAAAAAATGTCTCACAGGTGGTATCCCGATAGTCGGAAGTAGTAGAATGTGTTTTGGGGTATAGTTCTAAGTATACCTATGATTAGTTAGAAATAGGCATACGTTGTATAAAAAAAATACATTTTCATTTTCTTTTCTGCATTTTCCAAAACCTTGTGGCAAAAAAAGTGACATTTTCAAAAGACTCATTATGCCTTTCAGAAAAGAGGCAGTCAGTACATCAGAACTGATCAACTTTCAAAATTATATATACCATAGTTTGTAGACTCTATAACTTTCACCTAGACTAAATAAGACACTGATTTTGGGATGTTTTTGCCAAAGAGATATAGCAGAATACATTTTGGCCTTAGTTTCTGTTATAAAATTTTGCAAGGAATCTCTGTTTATAAATTAAGAAAAACATGTTTTTTTTTTTTTCTTAAAAAAACAAAAGAGTGGTGATAAAATACCATCAAAAGAAAAATTGATTTGGGTACAGTGATGCATAGCATTGAAAGCAGAAAATTGGCCTGGGCCAGAAGGGGGTAAAAGTGTCCAATCTTGAGGTGGTTAAATTGTCTAAAACAACTTTATTTTTAATTTATTTTTATTATTCCTAGGACCTGGTATCAAAGATGCTTCATGTGGATCCACATCAGAGATTAACAGCTGCCCAGGTGCTTAAACACCCTTGGATTGTACACTGTGACCAGCTGCCTCAGTTCCAGCTAAACAGACAGGATGCACCTCATCTAGTAAAGGTATGGCCATATACAGTGTACAGATTAAAGGGAATATTTCTGATTCATTATATAGTGTCTTGTGAGCCACACTACTTGTCATAGTGAGTCTGGATTAGTCCGTAAAACGCCTGAATTTATGAAAAAACATCCATGGATAACCTGGTCAGGATGTCGTAAAAATCACCATCAGTTTCTTGAGGTTTAAATTAAAAAAAGAGTGATCTGTGGCCACTGCTGACCAAATAAAATACCAACTAATTATTCAATTGCAAAAAATACTTGCCAACAAAATTTGTGAATGCTTCAATCAATTATTGGCAGCACCAGTATTACATTTGGTCTATCCTATTCTACTGTGGAAATGTGCGCAAGTCATGGTTATGTGCAGGGGTGAGCTAAGTGGGCCAGTCCCCCTTGGCCTTTGGATATATGGACTGCTAGGATAAATGTCCCTTCTATGCTTTGTGTTTACCATTAACATGATGACCTGTGCCAGTCTGTAGACAAATATTCTCAAAATGTAACACAGCTGGTTGCTTTGAGACATCATCCCAAGGACTAGCGGGCATTAGTAGCATATAAACAGAGAGATGTTCATCTTGAATTTTAAAGAAAGGATTCTACATAATAAGAGTGGTTAAGTTGTGCTATGACAAAATCAGTAGTGGAACCTATAGGTTGCCTACAAGAATAAAAATATGGGAGCTGCCATTGCTGATGTGTTTTTATCGGTGCCATCTCCAGGGTTGTTATCCTTGTCCTATCTTCACTGCATAAAGAATCGTTAAACTGGAACAAGAATTCAGAATGGAAGCTAAGGCTTTTCAGTCTTCACTGGCTGCATGCATTTTGACATGACTCACCAAAACAATGGAGCCAGGTTCAGGATGATATCACTGAAATTTGCATCTTAAAAGCAAACCAGAGTTTTGCTGATTGCTGGGCAAAACAGCAGGTCTTCTTTAATTACTCCCCTCTTAAACGGAGCAGTAATGTACTCCTCTTTCATTTCCTTGCTCACAGTCAAGAGTAAAGAAAATACATGATACTACTGGGTGTGGTGGAACATGTAACTTCTCAGCCAAGCACCAGCACTGTCACATTTGTAAGAGTCAATTGCTCTGTGTAACTTACCACTTGAACAACCTACTCTATAGCTTACACAGGGTAGTAAAATAATGCATTAAAGAACCTTCTGCTTTGCCCTGCATGGACAAAGCACAGGTTCACCTTTAAAGACAGTGGCAGTTGCCACAAATAAGAATTTGGTGAGTTTATTTAATCTACAGTTATAATTCTAAAAGGAAAACAAAGAATTGTTTACAGAAAGTGAGAACCTGTCGGATGCAAATTTGGCCACTTTGACAGGGAATTTTGGGAGTGTCCTTCCTCTGGACCACATATTCTGGAATTACCAAGAACTTGAAAGCCACATTTTCTTTATTTATTTATTTTTTTTTTTTTTTGTTAATTTTCAGCCTAGTTAAGTTTGTGATTACCACTCTTTATTTATAGATTAATTCATAAAATGTTTATCTTAATCGTACAGTGCAGGACACAGGCGGAATATTCATACACCTTGGGTTATAGAGCAAGCCTTTAAGGACATGTCGCCCATCAAAATGCCCCTCCCCTCACCACCCTACCCCACTCAGTGAGTCCTCACTTTTTTGTTAGTGTCTGGAAGTAATTACTTCTCCTTTGTAGAGAAATCAGCTTTCAGTCTTCTAATGGCTACACAGAAGAAATGTATCTACACTGGTGCAACCTTGATAAACCTGCTGTGGAGACAGCCTGTAATGTTGCTTTGGGCAATGGATCCTGCATGGGTGCTCACTTTGGAACTTGTTGCAACACAGTGAGTCAGCCACAAGGTGCTATACAGGTCCAGGGTCATGGTTCATCACTACGGAACCAAAGCCTTGCAGACCTCTTCTGGGGTTATGCCCACACTGATGGGCAAAGCCTGGACATTATGTACAGTACAGAAATGTGGACAAGAAACACAGGGTCACCTTGTATATCTGACTGTTACCTTTTAAAAAATAGAGCTATATTTAGAGTTTATAACAAAAAATGGTGAAGCGCTATGCAAATGCAACAAATCAGTGTATATACACACAAATATAGGTGAATAAATATACATTATTAAGCAATAATTAAAACGTGAGACTCCAATCTTTTAAATAATATAGAGTGACGTGCTTAAATAAGCAACACACTGTGCAAAAACAAGTGCCTGGTCTGCCAATAAAAATATAAACACACCAGGTTAAAAGAAATATATACCCAAAATAGATAGATATACATACCCCATTTTCCGGCGTATAAGGCGACTGGGAGTATAAGACGACCTCCTAATTTTCCAGTTAAAACATAGGTTTTGGGCTATACTCGCCGTATAAGACTACCCCCCTTCCGAGGCAACACCATTTAAAAACATCAGATTTTTTAATTGAAATGGTTATGACTTACCGGTACTTAAAATCCTTCAAAATCCTCATGTTCATCCTCTGACATCATAAGTTCATGAATGACATCTTGTGATACATTTGTAAGACAGTCATCATATGGATCAAATTCCAAATCAGATGGTTACGGCTGGATGTGAGGTATTACGGTAGCTTTGGCTACATACAGTATACAGTACATATACAGCCCGCTGGATGTGCAGTAATGTACATATAGTATACCGCACTGAGCCAAGCTGGCTCAAAACAAATGTCCCTATGACAGATTAATCTGTCAGCCCGCTGGATGTGCATTATATACAGTATACTGAGCCAAGCTGTTTCAAAACGTACCGGTACGTCCCTACGGTAATCAGACCGCTGGATGCGTGTATGTACAGTAGCTGCGGCTACATACAGTATACTTTGGGCCAATCACGGCGAGCGATGTATTCTACTAATGAATACAAAGCCTGCAGGCTTTGTATTGTAAACTAAAGAAATCTCCACAAAAACAATTTTTTTTTGTGCATAGCGTATGTCATAAAATCCAACGAATATTATAAAAATCAACACGGCATGTGCCAAAGCCAGTATTTCAACATACAAAACATGTATATCTAAAGTTCTATCAGTAAGAATATTATGCTCCATATTGTGCAAAGTCCCAGAAAATAATCCCGCAGTGTATTTAAAAACGGCTTCACTGTGTCACACAATCATCTTGGAAATACCACCACTGTTCCTAAATGGGTGAATTCTCACCTGGTGTTAAACCTTACTGCATTACAAAGAGGTCAAAACAGCGTTGGATTGGTTTCTATGCAGAAGGGAGTCTGATTTTGGACTCCTCCAGCTTTAGTAAATAAACCCCTTTGTGTCCATAACTGACTTTCTCAAAGAAGATTTCATTATTCTAAACAGTTTTATTATGTAGATGTCCAGATTTTTTTGGCAGCAAGGTTCTTGCATGGGCAATCTGAATTTGGGTCCTTTAACCCCTGTTGTCTTTTGGGCCTGTTGGCACAATTTTGTATGCCTAGTTGTTGCCCATTTTTTATATTCATTGCTTGGGGCTGTCCTATGATGCATGGATATTATGCTTGTGTTTTGTATTGTACAATGAAAGAATAACTTAAGGTAACTTTTTGTTTTTTTTAGTTTGATACAGTGGAGAGGGATAAGAACTTTTTTTATTGCTGTTTGTGGCCTTGTTGAGGAGATTGATCCTCTTAACCTTTATCGACAGTAAACGAAAATCCCAAATTTTGGGTTGATACCAGAACAGTAATGAATGGGAAATCTTTCAATGGGGTCACTATTTTTGGTGTCCCTGGGATCCCCCCATTTTGGAAGTATTTTCTCACTTCCGGTTTGGCTGTGGGACAGGAAATGAAGATAAATCTCCCCAATGGTACACACGGCAAAAAAAACCTCACAAAAATTGCCTTTCGTTCTCCTTTAACATGAGGAATTTTTACTTACCTGTAAATTCCATATCTTGGAGTACAGGACAAAGGGCACCCTCTCTTCCTTTCCTTACTTTTACTCTGCATTGCCTGCTACAAAAATGAGGACTCAGAGTTTGGTAGGGTTACAGGAGAGGCACCCAGTGGGCTTGTGCTTCAAAGCTTGCCATTGTTCTGTCACAGGAAGGGTAAACACCAATAACCCATGGTGTATGAATATTCTGCCTGTGTCCTGTACTGTACTCCAAGATATGGAATTTACAGGTAAGTCAAAATCCCTCTCTTCTTGTTCTCCCATAATTTACCTAAATTTGATTTTTTTTTTTTTTTTTAGTATAGTGTTTTGGGTTTTTTTGTTTTTTTTTTAATATGCCATTTATATAGGCTTTGTATTTTCAATATCTCCTTTTATCACACCCTTTTTGCAACTGTAGGGAGCCATGGCAGCTACATACTCTGCGTTGAACCTCAATCCAATGTCTCCAGTGCTGGAACCTGTTGGCCGTTCGACTCTCGCTCAGAGAAGAGGTGTAAAGAAGATTACTTCGACTGCACTCTGAACTCAAACTCGAGTGCTAGAGCTGAAGATCTGCACAAAACAAATCCAACAGAGATGATAGCACATATCAAAAAGACACTCCTGCAAGCACATGCTCACTGCCCTGCTGGGCTCTACATCAATGCTGCTGCTTTATGTCTGTTCTCTTAAATTGATGGCAACCCTTCTACCTTACTGACTCTGTCGACCAGGCTGTAAAATTAAAAATGTAAAACTGGTCCTCCAACAGTGGAGCAATAAGACTGTCATCCCCCTAGCATGAACAATACACTGAAACCACTTCAGCAATTTTTTTTTTATAGGAAGCCATTTATCCACCCAACTCTGTGGCTTATAAATTTCCTCTTTTTGGAGCACTTAGATGATATCAGCACTGAGTTCCTTAAGGCTGTTTTCTGTGCCATGCAAAATGTTGAGGTCTTTCCATGGCGCTCAACTGCTGGTCTCCTTTGCATTTTCATTTAGAGTTGTTGCCTATGTCCCTATTGTGCGCTAATTCCTTTTTTTCCCTCTGTTTATTATGTAATGCAGTTGTTCACATGCCTTGTCTTTGCTGTCAAGTGAGTCTTGTGTGTTCTGGCAAAGTGACTTTACTAGAATAGTGCCAGCATTTAATTCCGCTTGAATGTAAGAATGTAGAGTGGTTCAGCTTGGTTGTATAAGTGTGAGCCTGTGAAGCCATAAGACTGATGGGTAATTGAACTGATAATCTCCATGAGAAAAATGTTTCATGCAGTAGTAACTGACACGATCGCCATGGGTTTTTTTTGTTTTTGTAATTTTATAACTTGACTTTTTTAACTTTAAACTCATAGGCACTTTTTTGCTGGACATTGGCTAATTTAATATGCCTGCAGTTATTTTAAAAGGTAATGCATGTTGCACAAATACTCTTGCATTATACAATTGTGTTTTGGGTGGTGTAATACATTCAGGACCTTATTAAATTTGGGGAGATCTGAATCTGGTTAGCAGTAGTCATTTCTGAGATTTCCCCAGTATGTGGTGGCTCACACTTTGTAGTTCATACAGAAGGTGGTGGATTAATTCATGAAGTGTATACTGAACTTCAACTTCCTACATGCAGTAGTTGGAAGTGGTAAATCTAAAATCTTGACATGCTGTTTTGGAGACCCACAATAGATTTTAAGTGTTATATTTCCTCAAAGATTTTCTATCAAATGGCTTCCTGCAGGTTATATTTCATTTTGTATCCTAGCACACTGGTAACATTTGAACATTAATCTGCTGTTCAGGAACCTGGATTTATAACAACTTGATGAATAGGTTATGGAAAGATTGGGGGAACAAAAACTTCAAAACATTCGTGCAAGTCGTGAAATGGTTTTGCCAGCATCCTGCATTTCCCATTCACGCTTTTATGTTCTTAGGTATTATTTTCATGATTTTCTTCCTAATAAGTGATTGACGCTTAAGCACCTTGTTTGTGGGCCTCTGTGATGGTGAAAAGAATAGCTATGTATAATAATCCATGTGTAATAACATTCATCAGTCTATCCAAAACACAAATGTATGGTTGCTGCACATTATAGCTGTTTGTCACATTATTAGTGGGGCCTGTGCTCAAATGTAAATTTAACCTAAACAAGCAGTCCTCCTGGGTTAAATGAAGAATCAATAAAGATCCTCTCTTTCTGCAGCTCATGTGAGATACCTTATCCTTTTGGTCATGTGATCAATACTAGTGTGAGTCTGGAGCAGTATTTTCTCAATGGGTGGCATCTATTTTTATCCCTTGTAATCCCTTTTTTTTTTTTTTTTTTTTTTTTTTTTTTTTAGCAAGGGTGTTGCCTTAAATTTGCACAGAAGTTCAATTTTATAACATCCGTTACAAATTTCACTTGCATTTCTACATGTTGGTGGCATCTGCTATTGTGTTGCGTTTCACAAGCTGCTGTATTCTAGTATATTACTACACAAAAGGGTTCCAAACAGGAATTCTCCCTACCTTCCCCCCTTTCATGCCACCTTTAGCTGATTCCATGGGTGTTAATGTTCATAAGCTTCATATAAACGGTTTCCAGTCTCAGTGCTGCTTAAAGCTGAATCAAATGTCAAAGTGTTGGATGATTATTCTTGTTTTTCCCTAATGTAATCTTTTTTATGAAACAAACCTGATATTTTTTTTTTTTGCAGTTTATGCCATGTAATAATCTTCTCTATAATTATCACTATAAGGGGAACGTTTTGAGGGATGTTACTTGTAGATAAGGTGTGGCAGGTGATTAATTACTTTTCTTGTGTGAAAATGATGTACATTAGCTTTATGGAGCAAGTTTGACCCCGACTAAAGGGACATTGTACACAAAGGGATGTAATTATTTTGCAGTTACTGTATTTCTGGAGGGAGGGGCTGTTTAACTTTTTAAAAAAAAAAGACAAAAAAAAAAAAAAAAAAACAAATCATAGAGAATATTTTTCTACAGTTATGTACAATCTTTCTTTATATTAGATTTTGCATGGCATGTCAGTAAATTTATTATACTTGAAGTGTAATTATGAATCGCCCTGTGTGCCCAGCCTTCAGTACCTGGAAGATGCTTCCATTGCAGTAAACTAGAACGAAACTGTCATATAGTACTATGGAAAAATTCTCTTATCACCTACCTTGAAAAAAATTAAATTCTTAATACTAACATGTATCCAGTATGATCAATTCTTAATGGTAATCATTGCTTGTACATTTCTCTTAATCGGTTTTGTAATCCTCTTAAGAAAAGGAGACATTTATATAATAAACTTTCAAATACAAACTTATTCTGCTTTTGCTTGTTTTGTAAAAATTGCTTTTCTTATCCATTGAGTTAGAGACACAGGAATCATGTACTGCCAGGTTATACGGATGTTCACAGGATGATTTGGAAACTGGCAAACAAAAAAAAAAAAATCTATAGACCAGCCCAGGATAACCCATCCTCTACCCAACATGTCTCAGTTTTTTTTAAAGTATTTCAGAAGGATGGGTATTTTTCTCGTCTTGCTAATAAAATCAAACTGTGTTTTTTTTTTTTTTTTTTCCTAGTTGTCTTTTTTTTTTTTTTCTTTGATTTTTCTCTCAAGTTGATTTCAATCAATACTCATACATTGCTGCAACCATACACTACATTGCTGCTTGAACAGGCCTCTAGCTGGCAGCTATCAGGATGGGCTTTTCCCTGCTTGGGAATGCTGTACTCAAAACCTGTTGGACTGGATGTGTGTGGGATTAGCCTGGAATTGATGTTCCGGCACTAGGTTCTGCTTGTGGTGCTTTCCAGACAACAAATACTGGTACAAGTAAAAAAACAGTACACATAGGGGACAATCCAGCTACATTTCCATTACATCTTATTCAATTAACAATCAAGCCATATAAAGGACCTGTTGATCCACCTATTAAATGCCACAAAAGCATGTATCCAACTCTACTGAAAATGAGTCGCCCCTCCTCCAATCTATTCTTGAGTAGCCAAGGTTAGAGAAATTAAATGATGGGGGACTTTTTAACTGCATCTAAGCTTAAGTTGGACTAATTTCAGAAAACTTGGTTTTAATTGTTAGATTTTACGGGGTTGGATGGCTGCCATGCACTCTTATAGAGGGTTCATAGAATAGATTTCTGAGTGATGATTGTTCCACTGTGCTGGCCATCCACAGGAGCTCCCCCTTCCCTTTCTTCCTATTGGGGAGTCACACCAGACTCTTGCACACCTTCCCCAACTGCCTTTCTCTTTTTTTTTTTTTTCTTTATTGTACATCACAGGACACAGAGCAGGCTATTCATGACTATGCGGGTTATAGGCCACCTATAGGTGGATGGACACTGGCTAACCGATCAGAGAAGAGGTCCTCTCCTATATAACCCCTACTACACACAAAGTATTTCAGTTTTTTCACCAGTGTCTATAAGGTGGATGGTCACTGAAAGTGTTGCTTGTGCTCCTGGAGCATACCTAAGGTCTACTGCGGTTCCTTTATGGACTTTAATTGTATACATTTGGAAAGCTGTGATATAGAATGGATGGTACCCGAGCCTCCCTGGATAAGGAGAAGCATCCTCAGGGTTTTGCCTATAATGCAGCCTTACGGTGCTGGACCTAGCGTAGATGGGAGCTCAAATTTGGAGGAAAAAGGAGAGGTATTTGTTTTGGTACTAAAGGGAGTGCTCACAAAATATTTGCCCAGGACATGCGCTTCCCTGTTCTGTTGGGGGCCACTAGAGGGAGCGTTTTGGTCCCTAGGAGTGCGGCCGGCTGTGGGGCGCGTGGAGGATCGCATGCGCAGTAGTGGCAGGAGACGGAAGTCAGCCATATTATCTGAAGGCCTGAGCACATGTGGGCTGCTGCCACTGAGGGATTCCTATGGCCAGGACACAGAGCGGGCTATTGAGTGGGGCACGTGAGTGTTCCCCTGAGGGAGAAGTGATGGCCACCCTTGGTGGCTCATAAGGTCAGCTTTTTGCAGCGAGTGTTTTTCTTCAGCACACTACTTGCATGGCTGTATCTTGGAGTCTGTTTACTATTGGAGGTGCACAGGTTTTTAAGCTATCTGATGTAATGCCTTCCAGAAAGTGGAGTGGGGGAGGCACAGCGGGAACAGGCACTAATGTATCACCGCCAGGTCCTGAGGAACCTATCCAAATGTCCTCTGTAATATCCTCTCCTGAGAGGCCATAAGCGACTGGGCAGTCTGAGCCACTGCGTTTATCTGGTATTATAGTTACTTAGTGGCATCGCTATGGGGGTGCAGTCCATACCCAGGTGACACCCGCCAGGGGGGTGACACCAGGGCTGGCACCAGGATAGAGGAGACGATAAAATCCCCATCCAACTTGCACTGGCAGAGGAGCTGGCTCCCCTCCTAACACCACTCAACACTGTGTGATCAGGCAATGTACTGTAAGTCTCTGCCTGCTTGCAGTTCAGTAAGAAGGTCAGTGAGTCTGCTGCAGTTTGCCACACTCATCTCGTATGCCAATGTCCTTAGGCAGTGCCGCGATCC